GGCGGGGCACTGGGGCGAGGGGCAGGCCGCAGGCAGGGCTGGCTTTGGAGGCTGAGTCACGTGCTCCCTCCCTGACCTTCACGTCAGATAATCGCACCTTATTGGTTCTTTATTGGCCGTGCAGTGACATTGTGGCAACAGCGGAAGCTTAGGAAACGGAGCAGCCGGCCAGGGGTCGCTGCCTCTGCCTCCTGCTGTGCTGTCCTCGGGCCGCCCGCCCGCCTGTCACCTGTGGGTCGCGCTCCCCCAGGTGCCAGGTTTCCTGGCTGTGAATCTCCCAGCGTCAGGCTGCTCGGGGCCCCGCGCCCTGGGGTGTTGGGTGGGAGCTGGCCAGGGAGTGGGAGCCGAGTGTCGGGCTGGTCGTGTGTTTGTAGCGTGTCCTGCAGTCCGTGCACGCCTGGCATCGCCTCATTTTTTTCACGGGTTTGGGTTTGGGGTGTGGGTGGTGGCCAGCTGGGAGGCCGGTGCAAGGGTCTCCCAACGGGGCAGGATGAGGCCAGAACCGGGGCAGGAGGAAGGGGCAGAGGTCGGGCCGCGTTCCGAAGCCTCTTCCCTCCAGGCTCAGAGGGCAGCCTGGTGGGGACAGGACAGGAGGACCCGGTGCTGTCACAGCACGGCAGCTGGAGGGTGGGAGCGGGCACAGGCCCCTGCTCGTTGTCATGAGGAGCCTGGGCACCAGGGGCGTAAGGGGTGACCCAGGCCACCTGGCTCCCCGGAGACCTTGTGCCCGCCCCCCCGGGGGGCTTGAGCTGCTGTCAGTCAGGCCGCCCTCTCCCAGCCGAGGTCTCGGTGGCCTTGGAAGGGACCTGGCCTGCAGGGTGGCCTCCCAGGTGGACGCACCTGTCATGCCCGTCCCCGAGATAAGGAAGGAGCCGGGCCCAGGAGGACCGACTGGTTTCCGCGGGGAGGGAGGGGGGGCTCCTACTCCTGCTCCCACGTCCTCCTCCAGAGCCCGGGCACCTCCTGACTCGCTGGTCACCTCTGGCAGGCCTGTCGCGCCCTGGCTCGGTTCCTCCGGCGCTCGGTGGCTGGTGGCATCAGGGCCTGGCACACGTGAAGCCCTGGCGCTCAGAGTCCTGGCCCGGTGGTGGCCACTCGGCAGGAAGGGAGCCAGTGTGGGGAGCTCAGCGCCCCCTGAGCCCCAGAGAAGCAGGGAGGGCCCAGGGACGGGCACGTACCCCAGCCCCAGGCCCGGGAGCTGG